AGACCCTTTAACCCCACCTCAACATTCCTGTTTCCCCCAAGCCTCCGCAGCCTCTCAAGCAGTATATATACGGGTGAGAAGAGACACAAGATCATTTTCACCTCTTCAGGCCGAAGTCAACACAGTCTCTCTGCTAATTCAACACCAACATGAAGATGGCAAGTTGGATTTTATACTTAAAATTTATCATTTGTTTTATTTAATGTGTAATATGTAATGCCGTAACTAAGCTATTTTCCTGTTTAATTCTTAAATGTAAGAGAAGCTGTTAATTTTTCGGTTGATCCATAATGTATGAAGGAGTGAATTCATTATGTATGATGTACTGTATTCTCTCTCTCTCTGAAGTGCTGAATTCAACATGCATGAAGTTCTTCTTCAACATGTATGAAATTCTTCTATACTACTAAGAATACTCTAATTTTGAATTTATAATGTTTCCTAATTTACAGTCGTCTGCAAATTTAATAATATTGCGGAAAAGTTCCAAATGAGGATTATTTATATGTCTTGCGCAGAGCAGAGATTTTAAGACGTAGCTTTAGAGTTCTCCACTAGTGAATGCTCCCCACTCTGACTTCACAAGTGAATGCTCCCCACTCTGACTTCACTAGTGAATGCTCCCCACTCTGACTTCACTAGTGAATGCTCCCCACTCTGACTTCACAAGTGAATGCTCCCCACTCTGACTTCACTAGTGAATGCTCCCCACTCTGACTTCACTAGTGAATGCTCCCCACTCTGACTTCACTAGTGAATGCTCCCCACTCTGACTTCACTAGTGAATGCTCCCCACTCTGACTTCACTAGTGAATGCTCCCCACTCTGACTTCACTAGTGAATGCTCCCCACTCTGACTCACAAGTGAATGCTCCCCACTCTGACTTCACAAGTGAATGCTCCCCACTCTGACTTCACTAGTGAATGCTCCCCACTCTGACTTCACTAGTGAATGCTCCCCACTCTGACTTCACTAGTGAATGTTCCCCACACTGACTTCACTAGTGAATGCTCCCCACTCTGACTTCACAAGTGAATGCTCCCCACTCTGACTTCACAAGTGAATGCTCCCCACTCTGACTTCACTAGTGAATGCTCCCCACTCTGACTTCACTAGTGAATGCTCCCCACTCTGACTTCACTAGTGAATGCTCCCCACTCTGACTTCACTAGTGAATGCTCCCCACTCTGACTTCACTAGTGAATGCTCCCCACTCTGACTTCACTAGTGAATGCTCCCCACTCTGACTTCACTAGTGAATGCTCCCCACTCTGACTTCACTAGTGAATGCTCCCCACCCTGACTTCACTAGTGAATGCTCCCTACTCTGACTTCACCCCATTAATTCCTATTCTCTCTCAGACCTTAAACAATACAATAACCGTATTACTGTATTTGGCATCCGATACCTATAGTTCTGCCTCTTTAACTAAAAATGTATTATGGAAATTCACAGAAAGTCTTGGTTTTATTAAGTCAAATGTTTCATAATTTCCTTTACTGTCCATTAATTCGATTTCGGTTGATTATAAATTAGTTTATCTGTTGATGTTGGAACAATTCCAGATAATTAACCTTTTATATATATTTGCTAATGGGCCACCGACCTCTTCCTTATATTCCTTGGAGACTTAACAAACTTCTCATCAGAGCCTGTTATTTTTTTGTTAATTTTACGTAGTTTACAGACCACAAATTTCTTACTAAGTTGGTTACATATTTCATTTTGTATACCTCTTATACATTAAGTCTACTAAGGGTATACAGTCCAGTCAGAAGTACACTTACATCGCACCAGGCTTGGATACCCATGTGTATGGGAAATAGGCTTACGGGTTCCAGAAGCTGAGAGGAAATATCAGCACTGTGGAGAAATGCACGACAGGCCACTGGAACATTAACTGACACAGTGCGCAGTTACAAACCCATTAAGATTTCAACTTAGATTCAACAGAGCAGAAGAAGTTGTTGAACACAAGAGACAAAATCTTACTGAAGCGACCATATCGTCCTTAGTCGAGACTCACTAAGTAATATGTTACTAATTTCTTATTAATTTACGATGAAGAAACAGAACATTTTTATCAGGTATTCAGTGACTGAACTGCTGCTTTGCGACGTTGCGTGGCATCATAACCAATATTCAGATCTGTGATATTCTGAGTGATATGACATGATACAAAACTGTTAATCATAAGACAATCCCCCAGGGATGTATGGTGGGCACGAACCTACGATCAAGGAATTGCCATTCGCATACTCTACCACTGGACCGACGTGGCTTGTGAGTCGTAAAGTATGCGTCTGGCAATACCTTGGTCGAAGGTTCGCACCCACCTCAAAGCCTTAGTGGTTTATCTTATAGATATATATAATGTTTTCTGCGATTTCTGTATGTTGCTGTTAATTATTTTAATATATTTCAGATATACTTGATCCTGACGGTGGCGATGGCCTTCTCGGCCCTAATGGGGCCAGCTCGAGCCTTTCCTGACCCCTTAGCCCTGGCTGACCCTGGCCCTGATGCTCTTGCTGACCCCTTAGCCTTGGCTGACCCAGGTCCAGAAGCCCTTGCAGACCCTGGACGCAGGCACTGTTGGCCTCACCAAGACCACTACCACTGCCATCACCACAAAGGGTGATGTCCACCAGCCTCCTCGCCTCATCCGTACACCAACAGCTTCCCGGATCCATATACAGCGTTAAAGTTTTTTGCCACGGAGTCTCACTTTGCTTAAGCTACTTTCAGCTATTATTTTTTTCTTCTGTAAAATGTTAAATCTAGAATTATTCACTGGAAATAAACATATATAAATAGATTACATGATTGTTTTATTATTATCTACATTATATTGCTGCGAATTGTAGTTATATTTAAGAGCCTTCAAGAGACAGTTCAAGCCTAGACGACAGCCCTCATGAGACAGTTCAGGCCTAGACGACAGCCCTCATGAGACAGTCAGGCCTAGACGACAGCCCTCATGAGACAGTCAGGCCTAGACGACAGCTCTCATGAGACAGTTCAGACCTAGACGACAGCTCTCATGAGACAGTTCAGGCCTAGACGACAGCCCTCATGAGACAGTTCAGGCCTAGACGACAGCCCTCATGAGACAGTCAGGCCTAGACGACAGCCCTCATGAGACAGTCAGGCCTAGACGACAGCTCTCATGAGACAGTTCAGGCCTAGACGACAGCCCTCATGAGACAGTTCAAGCCTAGACGACAGCCCTCATGAGACAGTTCAAGCCTAGACGACAGCCCTCATGAGACAGTTCAGGCCTAGACGACAGCCCTCACGAGACAGTTCAGGCCTAGACGACAGCCCTCATGAGACAGTTCAAGCCAAGACGACAGCCCTCATGAGACAGTTCAGGCCTAGACGACAGCCCTCATGAGACAGTTCAAGCCTAGACGACAGCCCTCATGAGACAGTTCAGGCCTAGACGACAGCCCTCACGAGACAGTTCAGGCCTAGACGACAGCCCTCATGAGACAGTTCAAGCCTAGACGACAACCCTCGCGAGACAGTTTAGGCCTAGACGACAGCCCTCACGAGACAGTTCAAGCCTAGACGACAGCCCTCATGAGACAGTTCAAGCCTAGACGACAACCCTCGCGAGACAGTTTAGGCCTAGACAACACCCCTCAAGAGACAGTTCAGGCCTAGACGACAGCCCTCACGAGACGGTTACACCCAAGACGACAGCTCCCACGAGACGGTTCAACCCTAGACGACAGCCTTCACGAGACAGTTCGATTATATCTGCGTGTCTTTCAGTCTGTCCGAGGTTGAAGGCCAGACGCCTCTCACTCAATTCTTATTAGCAATTGCTCTTGGGTCCATCCATGGACGGGTCGGTGTTGGGTTCAGTGGAATGAATTCCACTTGGCACAGTGATCCTGTCGACACAAGCATGTGGGTGTATGTTTCATGTGTTTCAGTATGTACATATGTCAGTATGTACGTGTGTCATTATGTACATGTGCCAGTATGTATCACGTACCTTTATGCATGACATGTTGGTATGTGTCACGTTGCCACCTACCCCTTCCACAAACACACCCGCAATATCCCAGGGGATATACGTGCATTAGCCTAGAGGATATACCTGCACTATCCCGGGGGACATACCTGTACTACCCAGGGGGATATACCTGCACCACCCTAGAGGATATACCTGCACTACCCCCGGGGGACATACCTGTACTACCCAGGGGGATATATCTACACTACCCCGGGGGATATACCTGAACTACCCCGGGGAATATACCTGCACTACCCCTGGGGATATACCTGCATTAGCCCTGGAGATATACCTGCACTAGCCTAAGGGATGTACTTGCACTACCCCGGGGGATATATCTACACTACCCCGGGGATACACCTGCACTACCCCGTGGAATATACCTGCAATACCCCTGGGGATATACCTGCATTAGCCCTGGAGATACACCTGCACTAGCCTAGGGGATATACCTGCACTACCCCGGGGGGACATACCTGCACTACTCCGGGGGATATACCTGCACTACCACCGGGGGATATACCTGCTCTACCCTGGGGGATATACCTGCACTACCCCGGGGGGACATACCTGCACTACTCCGGGGGATATATCTGAGCTACCCCCGGGGGATATACCTGCACTACCCCAGGGGATATACCTGCACTACCCCAGGGGGATATACCTGCTCTACCCTGGGGGATATACCTGCACTACCCCGGGTATATATCTGCACTACTGCGGGAATATACCTGCACTACCCCGGGGATATATCTGCACTACCTCGGGGATATTCCTGCACTACTCCGGGGGATATACCTGCATTAGCCCTGGAGATATACCTGCACTAGCCTAGGGGATATACCTGCACTACCCCGGGGGACATACCTGCACTACTCTGGGGGATATATCTGCACTACCCCGGGGGATATACCTGCACTACCCCTGGGGATATACCTGCACTAGCTTAGGGGATATATCTGCACTACCCCGGGGGATATACCTGCACTACCCCAGGGGATATATCTGCACCCCCCCATGGGATATACCTGCACTACCCCCGGGGGATATACCTGCACTACCCCGGGGGATATATCTGCACTACACCGGGGGATATACCTGCACTACCCCGGGGGATATATCTGCACTTCTCCGGGGTATATACCTGCACTACCCCCGGGGGATATACCTGCACTACCCCCGGGGGATATACCTGCACTACCCCGGGAGATATATCTGCACTACCCCCGAGGGATATACCTGCACAACCCCCGGGGGATATACCTGCACTACCCCCAGGAGATATACCTGCACTACCCCGGGGGATATACCTGCACTACCCCCGGGGGATATACCTGCACTACCCCCGAGGGATATACCTGCACTTCCCCGGGGGATATACCTGCACCTCCCCGGGGGATATACCTGCACTACCCCCGGGGGATATACCTGCACTACCCCTGGGGCTATACCTGCACTACCCTGGGGGGATATATCTGCGCTACCCCCGGGGGATATACTTGCACTACCCCCAGGAGATATACCTGCACTACCCCTGGGGATATACCTGCACTACCCTGGGGGGATATATCTGCTCTATCCCCGGGGGATATACCTGCACTACCCCGAGGGATATACCTGCACTACCCCCGGGGGATATATCTGCACTACCCCCTGGGGATATACCCGCACTACCCCCGGGGGATATACCTGCACTAGCCTATAAGGATATACCTGCACCTCCCCGGGGGACATACCAGTACTACCCAGGGGGATATATCTACACTACCCCGGGGGATATACCTGCACTACCCCGGGGGATATACCTGCACTACCCCCGGGGGACATACCTGCACTACCCAGGGGGATATACCTGCACTACCCCCGAGGGATATACCTGCACTTCCCCGGGGATATACCTGCACCTCCCCGGGGGATATACCTGCACTACCCCCGGGTGATATACATGCACTACCCCTGGGGGTATACCTGCACTACCCTGGGGGGATATATCTGCGCTACTCCCGGGGGATATACCTGCACTACCCCCGGGGGATATACCCGCACTACCCCCGGGGGATATATCTGCACCACCCCCGGGGGATATACCCGCACTACCCCCGGGGGATATACCTGCACTAGCCTATAAGGATATACCTGCACTACCCCGGGGGACATACCAGTACTACCCAGGGGGATATATCTACACTACCCTGGGGGATATACCTGCACTACCCCGGGGGATATACCTGCACTACCCCCGGGGACATACCTGCACTACCCAGGGGGATATACCTGCACTACCCCCGGGGGACATACCTGCACTACCCGGGGGATATACCTGCACTACCCCCGGGGGACATACCTGCACTACCCCGGGGGATATATCTGAAAGAACCTGGGGATATATCTGCACTACCCCCGGGGGATATACCTGCACTACCCCGGGGGATATATCTGCAAGAACCTGGGGATATATCTGCAAGAACCTGGGGATATATCTGCACTACCCCGGGGATATATCTGCACTACCCCGGGGATATATCTGCACTACCCCGGGAATATACCTGCACTACCCCCGGGGGACATACCTGCACTACCCAGGGGGATATATCTGTAAGAACCTGGGGATATATCTGCACTACCCCCGGGGGATATACCTGCACTACCCCTGGTGGATATATCTGCACAATCCCCGGGGGATGTACCTGCACTACCCCTGGTGGATTTATCTGCACTACCCCCGGGGGATATACCAGCACTACCCCCGAGGGATATACCTGCACTACCCCTGGTGGATATATCTGCACTACCCCCGGGGGATATACCTGCACTACCCCGGGAATATATCTGCACTACCCCGGGTATATATCAGCACTACCCCGGGAATATACCTGCACTACCCCGTGGAAATATCTGCACTACCCCGGGGATATACCTGCACTACCCCGGGGAAATATCTGCACTACCCTGGGAATATACCTGCACTCCCCCCGATGGTTATCTGCACTACCCCGGGGATATACCTACACTACCCTGGGGGATATACCTACACTACCCTGGGGGATATACCTGCACTACCCCGGGGATATACCTTCACTACCCCGGGGGATATATCTGCACCACCCCGGGGATATATCTGCACTTCCCCGGAGATAGACTTGCACTACCCCGGGGGATATATCTGCACTTCCCCGGAGATACACTTGCACTACCCCGGGGGATATACCTGCACTACCCCGGGGGATATCTGCACTACCCCGGGGATATACCTGCACTACCCCGGGGGATATATCTGCACTACCCCGGGGATATACCTGCACTACCCTGGGGAATATATCTGCACTACCCCGGGGATATACCTGCACTATCCCTGGGGAAATATCTGCACTACCCCGGGAAAGTACCTGCACTCCCCCGGGGGATATATCTGCACTACCCCGTTGATATTCCTGCACTACCCCGGGGGATATACCTGCACTACCCCGGGGGATATATCTGCACTACCCGGGAAATATACCTACACTACCCCGGGAATATTCCTGCACTCCCCGGGGGATATATCTGCACTACCCCGGGGATATACCTGCATTACCCCAGGGGATATACCTGCACTTCCCTGGGGGATATTCTTGCACTACCCCGGGGATATATCTGCACTACCCAGGGGATATACCTGCACTACCCTGGGTGATATACCTGCACTACCCCGGGGGATATATCTGCACTTCCCCAGGGATATACCTGCACTACCCCGGGGGATATATCTGCAATCTTCACTACCCTGGGGGATACATGCACTACCCTAGTGTGAGGTACAGCAATAATTCATATCATTTATTAGGACGAAACACTCTGTGTATGTTAAAAACATACGAGGTTTCTCGTCAAATTTATAATACATTGTTTCTCTTGTCTCACTGTATATATATATATATATATATATATATATATATATATATATATATATATATATATATATATATATATATATATATATATATATATATATATATATATATATATATATATATATATATATATATATATATATGCGAACAAGCCTGAATGGTCCCCAGGACTATATGCGAATGAAAACTCAAACGTGATGGTCAAGCGGATTAAGGCGCCCTGTAGTTACCAGTTGCGTTGCTTCTGGGAGTATGGGTTCGAGTCACTTCTGGGGTGTGAGCTTTCATTCGCATATAGTCCTGGGGACCATTCAGGCTTGTTCGCATTTGTGTTCCTCACGTGTGCCCCAAAGAATGAGGTGATTTGGTGAAATGCTATGCCCAAGATTACCATCCGAGTTGCCGTCGGGGAAGTGGCTCAAATAGCCTCGGCTATCACTTCCTTTTGACGGCCGTGATGGTCAAGCGGATTAAGGCGCCCTGTAATTACCAGTTGCGTTGCTTCTGGGAGTATGGGTTCGAGTCACTTCTGGGGTGTGAGTTTTCATTCATATATATATATATATATATATATATATATATATATATATATATATATATATATATATATATATATATATATATATATATATATATATATATATATATATGTCGTACCTAGTAGCCAGAACGCACTTCTCTGCCTACTATGCAGGGCCCGATTTGCCTAATAAGCCAAGTTTTCCTGAATTAATATATTTTCTCTAATTTTTTTCTTATGAAATGATAAAGCTACCCATTTCATTGTGTTTGAGGTCATTTTTTTTTATTGGAGTTAAAATTAACGTAGATATATGACCGAACCTAACCTAACCTAACCTATCTTTATAGGTTAGGTTAGGTTAGGTAGCCGAAAAAGTTAGGTTAGGTTAGGTTAGGTAGGTTAGGTAGTCGAAAAACATTTAATTCGTGAAAACTTGGCTTATTAGGCAAATCGGGCCTTGCATAGTAGGCAGAGAAGTGCGTTCTGGCTACTAGGTATGACATATATATATATATATATATATATATATATATATATATATATATATATATATATATATATATATAATATATATATATATTATTAAATATGACCGAAAAAGTAAGATTAATAATTCTAACACGAATTTTCTCAATCTTTCGTACATTTCTATTCACTGTTGGTGGTAATTCAAAAATCAATTCTCCAAAATTCATTTTTATTTCTAGTCTGACGCGACACTTGAGCGCGTTTCGTAAAACTTATTACATTTTCAAAGACTTTAGTTTAAACATACACAACTGAATAGAACTTACACATCTCCGATTTGTTTATATCTACATTTGAGTGAGGTGGATGGGGTGAGGTGGTATTAATAGGGTATTAATTTCATCAACACAAGACAGAACACGAAATAATGGGTATTGAATAGAAGTGATTGTAGAAAGCCTATTGGTCCATATTTCTTGATGCTTCTATATTGGAGCGGAGTCTTGAGGTGGGTAGAACATAGTTGTGCATTAATTGGCTGTTGATTGCTGGTGTTGACTTCTTAATGTGTAGTGCCTCGCTAACGTCAAGCCGCCTGCTATCGCTGTATCTATCAATGATTTCTGTGTTGTTTACTAGGATTTCTCTGGCGATGGTTTGGTTGTGGGAAGAGATTATATGTTCCTTAATGGAGCCCTGTTGCTTATGCATCGTTAAACGCCTAGAAAGAGATGTTGTTGTCTTGCCTATATACTGTTTTTTTTTGGAGCTTACAGTCCCCAAGAGGGCATTTGAAGGCATAGACGACGTTGGTCTCTTTTAAAGCGTTCTGTTTTGTGTCTGGAGAGTTTCTCATGAGTAGGCTGGCAGTTTTTCTGGTTTTATAGTAAATCGTCAGTTGTATCCTCTGATTTTTGTCTGTAGGGATAACGTTTCTATTAACAATATCTTTCAGGACCCTTTCCTCCGTTTTATGAGCTGTGGAAAAGAAGTTCCTGTAAAATAGTCTAATAGGGGGTATAGGTGCTGTGTTGGTTGTCTCTTCAGAGGTTGCATGGCGTTTCACTTTCCTTCTTATGATGTCTTCGACGAAACCATTGGAGAAGCCGTTGTTGACTAGGACCTGCCTTACCCTACAGAGTTCTTCGTCGACTTGCTTCCATTCTGAGCTGTGGCTGAGAGCACGGTCGACATATGCGTTAACAACACTCCTCTTGAACCTATCTGGTTAGGTTCAAGAGCTTTTGGCATTTAGGCACATTCCTATGTTCGTTTCCTTAGTGTAGACTGCAGTGTGGAAACCTCCGCTCTTTTCCATGACTGTTACATCTAGAAAGGGCAGCTTCCCATCCTTTTCCATCTCGTAAGTGAAACGCAGCACGGAACTCCGCTCAAATGCCTCCTTCAGCTCCTGCAGATGGCTGACATCAGGTACCTGTGTAAAAATGTCGTCAACATACCTGCAGTATATGGCCGGTTTCAAGTTCATGTCGACTAAGACTTTTTGCTCGATGGTACCCATGTAGAAGTTTGCAAACAGGACACCTAGGGGAGATCCCATGGCGACCCCATCTACTTGCTTATACATGTGCCCATCCGGGCTCAAGAAGGGTGCCTCTTTAGTACAAGCTTGGAGTAGTTTCCTTAGGATATTTTCTGTTATGTCAAGAGGAGTACAGGCTGGATCACGATACACTCTGTCGGCTATCATCCCGATTTTCTCGTCCACTGGTACGTTGGTGAACAGCGATTCTACGTCCAACGAGGCTCTTATTCCTGTGGCCCGTGTGCCCCGCAGTAAGTCAACAAATTCCTTTGGCGACTTCAGGCTGAAGGTGCAAGGAACATAAGGAGTCAGCAGGCCGTTGAGTCGCTTCGCTAGTCTGTACGTGGGTGTGAGTATCTGGCTAATGATTGGCCGAAGTGGGTTTCCAGGCTTGTGTGTCTTGACATTTCCATACGCATATCCAGGTTTATATTCCCCAATAATCTTTGGCAGGTGGAGTCCTGATTTCTTGGCGTTCACAGTTTCGATTAGTTTGTTGACCTTTGCTTTCAT